CTTTTAATTCGGAATTTCCTTGTGGTAATTAAATAAAATATTGTGTGCGACTATTGGTCAAAAGAGGAGATTCCACTTGCGTGGAATCTCCTCTTTCTCCCACTTGTCGCACAATGTACTATTAATGCACAAGTGCATTAAACTGATATGCAAGCTGCTGCACAAGCTCTATTTGCCGCGGTAGTTGTATGATTTGGGGCCACCAAACAACAGATCTGTAGCAAAATATTAATATTGTCGTATATATCCATATAACTATTTTTGGGAATAGTCCCCACATCCTTCCGACAGTCCTTATAAACTGCCAGAAGCAAACTTCTTGACAGCTGTCATAGGTCAGATAAAATATAAAATACATTTGGCTTTAAATTTCTTGTGGTAGTTAAATAAAATACTGTGTGCGACTATTGGTCGCACAATGTACAGTACAAAGTATGTAATGCATTCATTTTATAAACTTTGCAAGATCACTCATTTATTAAAAACCCGCTCTGCAATCTCTGCTCGCGCATAATAAACTATTGTTTAAAGTAAACTAGTTATCATTAATTACAGAACACTAACCATTGATGTGCAGAACACTATTCAACTTACCTAATATACAATGCGAGGGTTAAACCACTTAAAAAAATTAAAATCGCTCACGAATTAACGGCTAAGGAACAAAAATTACACAATGCATCGCTAAAAGAAATTTCTTATTAATAAGACAACATTATTTTTGTTAAAATTTTTTAACCAGTTATGTAATATTTATTACTAGTTCATGGCACCAGTGCAGTAGCACTGTTTTTGTTGAAAATAAACAAGCTTATTATTATTATTATTATTATTATATACCTTTTTTGGTAATTTACAAAAATTTTTATACTTGTTATACTAAATAGACAATATTGTCCTTTTACTTAAATAAACATTAATATTATAATATATATAATATATTATTATTATTATTATTATTATTATTATTAGTATTATTATTATTACTTCTCTGAAATTGTAACATTTTGTAAAATTACAAAATAAAGCATATACAAATGATAAAAGACCAAAGCTGCGTGTGGGGTATATGTTGTTGAAAAAAGCATCCCACCCCAAAATATACTTTATTTTATATATCAAATTTCCTTTTGTAGCTGTAATCAAAGCCGTTAGTTATCTGAAAATTGAACATTCTGAAAAGGGGTAAAATACCTTTTTATCAGCGTTCACACATGCATGCTTTTATAACAACACAGCTACACAGTTTGGCCACCCGTTACATCAGTGTGAGGGCTCAGCGTTATCAAATTTTGCTTTGCGACGTATTTCAAAAGAGACGTTTGGCAAAGTAATCTAAAATAATATAATGTAGTGAAATGTGTTTGAGTAATGTAACGGTTCTATAAAAAATATCGAATATTATGAACCCTATAGCTTGCGATAATAGGGTACCAGAAAATTTTATTAGAGTGGTAAAAAACTATTAAAACATATTTTAAAACGCTGATTTAGCACATCAAATTTGCGTTACTGTGCGCACCCGTCAAGATGATATCATTTGGCAATTTTGGGTAACAAAACGTCGAGTTTTTGACTTTGACATTGAGATAAAAAGGTTCGAGCAGCCGAAATTGAATGGAATCAAACGTTTTTAAATGACGTCGACTTTATCTTTAAAGCTCATTTCCCACGTAATAACCGACAAGATCCATTAGTGCGATTGTCGATGCCGATTTTTTCGTCTGAAAATGACGCGACCTCTACAAGAGAAACGGTCGCTCCTATTATGGCGCGGCGTTATCTTTTAATTTAAAACGCCTAATAGCCTATTACGGTTTGTTTATCTTTAATTTTCCTTCGCAAATTCGCTGTTACCAGGACAAAAAGCAAAGTAAAGTATTTGATGATAGAATATTAAATTGATGATGAATGAGAAGAATTTGCGTTGAACCATTTTTCTGGAATAATGGAGTATTACAAATTTAACAATTTTTCAGAAAAAATAAGTTAACTTTAACTAATTCTTTTAAAACTATCTACTGCAATTTTAATGCCTTTGAGAAAGTCAAAATTTCAATTAATGACGGAATTATATTGAAGGCATAGCATAGACTTTGTTTTCCTGTATCATGATCGCATTTTTTTTAATCATTATGTGGCTTAATATTAAAAAAATAAAGCCAGGATATTAAACTACAGAAATGTAAATTATAGGGACATCGTACGTCATTTCTGTGCAAATTACCGTCTTGAAGCTATATCAAAATTATCAAGCGGCCACGTAAGTAAGAAGAAGGATCAATAACGCCTGCTACGTGGGTACTTACCTACGTAAGAAATCGCCGCATCAATAAGCGTTTCCAATTCGTATGAATAATAAATGTTAAAAAAATGCGCTACGAATTGCCAGCTTTAAGCTCCTGATGGCATATGCATAATATAATGCACCATAGAGTAGACATTCAGAAATAATTAGAGGTTGTAACCATACTACGTATATGCGGAAATGTGCTTCTAAGATACTTACCAAGAATTTTTATTCATACAACTGCTTTTGTATTCTATAAGGTACATTTTGACTCATTTTTGGGTTAAATCACTAACTACCTAAATATATTATTAATGCTGCGTAATAAAACACGCGTTATAACAATATTTGTTCAAAATGTTGGCCATCCCTAAAGAACTTGAAATTTTACTTCCTAGGCAATTCAAAAACGTTCTATTCCAAAATAAAGATCCACGTGGAAAATCGTTGGATTTTTTCAACATTTTTTGAGTCCATAATATTAAGCAAGTTTTTGTCTCAGAACTCCCAAACCATTGAGTAACAAAATTGACTCGAAAATATTTTTTGAAAATTGAATGCTCTATAAAAAAGGTTAAAGTGAAATTTTCCGTCAGATGAACCGTTTCCTTAAAATCATGCCTTAAAAATTGGTAGTTTTACATTTTGATCTTTTAAATTGGAATTTTACAATTAATGTAAAAATCAGTACCCATAAAAAATCCGATAAATATTCTTATGGGAAATCAAATGCTTTACAAAAAATCCTCTCAACATTTTTGGCTAAATTTACTCAATCAAAAGTTATTCAGGGTTAAAATTTCGTTTTGACTTCAAATTTAACCTTGAACAACTTTTGATTGAGTGAATTTAGCCAAAAATGGCTTTTTTTGTAAAGCATTTGATTTTCCATAAAAATATTCATCGTTTTTTTCTGGGTACTGATTTTTACATGAAATACAAAATTCCAAAGTTAAAAGATCAAAATGTAAAACTATAACAATTTTTAATGTATGATTTTAAGGAAACGGTTCATCTGACAGAAAATTTCGTTTTAACCACTTTTGTAGAGCATTCAATTTCGAGTCAATTTTGTTAAACTCAATGGTTTGGGAGTTCTGAGACAAAAACTTGCTGAGGAAAAAAAAATTAAAATTAATATTAATATTATGGACTCAAACTTTCAGAATAATTTTTTTTTGTCACCCCCAAAACATATTTTCAATATACTTTTCAAAAAAAAAATAGTTGATTTTTTTGGCCCAGTCTATTATACATGCCAAAAATTCTGTATTCCGTCTATTGTGCGGCGTCGTCGCCGTATATCCGACGTCGCGACATATCCCCTTTAAGCCAGAGCTTATAAATTTCGTTGCACCCGCCGACGTGGCTTTCTTGTCGTTCGTCATTAGTCCGGCATCGAAAGGGATTTTTAATCTGATTACACGCACCGAATTTGCTGATTTCAAGAAACCTCTGACTTAAATAAAGATGTCGTGATTTTCATTTTAAAGCTAAATTAAAAACCACAAGATAAATAATATTTATAAATTAAAGAAAATAATGTTATAAAAAGTAATGGTAGTTTAAAGTTAAGCTTCTTTTTTATTAAAATTTATTAAAGCATTAACTTTACTGCACCTAAGCTGCCTTAAATCCTTGCATGCAGGATAGTAGTCCTGTAATTTTCCACGTATCCTACAGACAATAATCCCATTTTATAGTTTATGCAAAATACCCGGCGTTTTGTTGGATTTTATCGCAAATAAAACTTCTTACACTTTGCCAGTTATTAAATCTAATATAATTTACAATCGCCCATCAAACAGACAGCCAATGTGTTTATTAGGGGAGATTTTACTATCTTCTGCGAGTTATTAAGTTTGATTATTATTATGATTATAGTTTACCGACATTTAAAATGCCAAGGGAATTTCAGTTAAAAAAAAATAATAAACATAAAAATCACTGCAATTTGATAAATGTTTCAATTTCTAGTAGTTCGTCATCGACGTCGTTTTTGGTTCGGTGGGAAATTTGTTAAAAATTCACACATGATTTATTAAACCACGGGGTGAGTTGCCCTCGCCTTTAAGTAATGAATGTAATAAAACCTCCCATTGTATAAATTTTGAGTGGTAGGCTCTCTTGACCCCCAAGCTAATAAAAATGGTTTTTGTTCATTCAGTGAGCTCGTACACTGTTTAGGTAGGCTAAAAGATCCAATTATAAAACCGTAAAAACTGAAAATGCGTTTTTAGCTTTATTATTATGCATGCCATAATCGAAAAAAACTGTTTTACTTTCAAATTTCCTAAATTATAAAAAGGTCTGTGTTTGTCCGTGGCAATGAATAAAACATTTTTTCGAACAACGGCTTCAATAATTCTAATTTATACACCTTTGTTCGGTTGTTTGTGGGGGTCGTTTGAAAAAACTCCAATAATCAGCACATTTCATAAGCAAATATTTTCAAAAAAATCGATAACTCCTTTTATAATTATAATTTTATAAAATACATGCCGACCGATGCGTCAAACGCGCGACCCTTTGCAAAAAAACGCCACATATATTTTATGACTATAAAGTTGTCTCGAGTCTTAGGGTAAGGCATTGCAATTTATTTGAAAGGTAGCCTTTTTAAAGTTTGTGGGCTTAACGGATTAAGGGACTTTTTACGCAGTTTAATTAGCATTTTTAGAGATTAAAAGGTTTTTAGGGGGCTAAATAAACCATAAGTCTTTCATTTTAAAGCCGAAGAAAAACTTTATTGCTCTATAAGTACCACCGGAAGTTTTTAAATTACAATTTGTTGTATTCTTATGCATACAAAGATCCAACAATGCCGTGCTCGCACTTAACAAAGTTCCAGGCAGTTTCTTCAGGAGATTCCTTTTCAATCAAACAGTGCTCCAATTTGGCCAAATATTCGCCATCGTAATGCTTAGACCATCTTTGTCTGATGTTGTCCTTAAGAAGACCGTAATGCATCATTTTGAAACCTTGGTACATACAAACCATGTGCACTTTTAATTGTTCATCTTCGATGAACTCGCCTTTGATCAATTTTCCGATCAATTCTTCGTCAATGTGGGTTTCTGGGTGTGATTGGCAAAATTTGTGGACACCTTGAAATTCTTTTTGTTCGTCTGGTGTTACACCCTTTATGACCTAAATATTAAATACATAATAAGTACTATCTAGAGACTAAAGTCAAATCCTTATGCAAATACCTTTATAAATAAGCTAGAAGACTTTTCTATTTAATCTATTTTTGACAAATGACAACCTGTATACTATTAAGAATAAAAATTATTTATACTTACAGCTGACGAGGCTGCGGCCACCAAAGCAACAAACAATAAAAATCCGTATTTGTTCATTATGAATTCGTTTAGTTTACTTAACTGAAAGCCTGTTGAACAGGTGCTGATTTTATATGCAAATCTTACCTTTACCTGTGACGATCTTATTCCTATAAATCGTTAATTAATTTAAAAAAGTTTATATCTTAAAGGGAATTTCCAATTCGTATCTTTTCTGTTTACGTTAAGCAGAACAAGTTTTAAAACATTAACTTTATCACAGGTATACCTGGAAAATTTAATTGATTAACGTAAATACTTATAAAATGCAAATACCTATAGGTATTTGCATTGTATAAATATTTACGTTAATCAATTAAATTTTCCACCGTTTCCTTGAATTTTTAACCATTTTTTTTAACACCTTCGTAATATAATTGGAACCAAACATAAAAAATACCACAAGGTTTTTTTAAACATTTTATAGAACAATTAATATAACTGACAACTTGATAAAATGTCTGGAGAATGTCTAGATTTAACTGTCTTAAGAATTTATTCAAAATATAGGTAATTGTTAAAAATATCAAGTTAAGTTTGGATAAATTTTAATTTAAAAGGTAGATGTTACTGTCTAAAAAACAGAAATTGTATACTTTTTACAATACATTAAAACTATTCAATAAAACATTTAAATAAAGGGTTGACCAATATTATGTATACATAATATAGTTCTATACAAGGTGTCCCTAAACTTATTGGCATAAATTTAGGAAAAGATTAAACAAGTCAAATTAAGACGAAAACCTAAATAAATATTTTTCCTAATTACTTATGTTTCCAAGATACAGGGTGATAAAGTGTTACTTATCATATCAGTTTTTTAATATAACTTCTTCTATGGTAGTCTTGGAAAGGTGATATTTTGCGAACAATTACTAACAGCTACTACCAAAACACATATTCACACATAATTACAATTGTTTGAGTGAACACAGTGTCGTAGAAACTGGGGTTGCTTTAAGCTTATTGTCCCAAATCGCATTATTTAAAAGGATTAAAAGGTATATGATAACAAATTTTATTTTTAATTGAAAAAACTAAAAAGGGCATTCCATGAGCCTCGGGACTTCTTGTCCTGACCGTCACATTAAAAAAATTGTAGTTTTTTCATGTTATCATATACCTTTTAATCCTTTAATGCGATATAACAATTATTGTAATCTCGAATATCTCGGAAACGGTTTATTTTTTCGAAGTGTGAGAGGTACACCTTTTTAATAGTAGCCGAACTGAGTAATCGAAAAATTGCATCAAATGGTATAAAAACCTAACCAAAGTTTGTATGGGACAATAAGCTTAAGCAACCCCTGTTTCTACAACACTTTGTTCACTCGAACAATTATGTGTGAATATGTGTTTTGGTAGTAAGTGACTGTTCGCAAAATATCACCTTTCCAAGTCTACTATAGCACAAGTTATATTAAAAAAACTGATATGATAAATAACACTTTATCACCCTGTATCTTTTAGTAAGTGACTGTTCGCAAAATATCAACTTTCCAAGTCTACTATAGTAGAAGTTATATTAAAAAAACTGATATGATAAATAACAGTTTATCACCCTGTATCTTTTAAACATACGTAATTAGGAAAAATATTTAATTAGATTTTTGTCTTATTTTGACTTGCCTAATCTGCTCCTAAATTTATGCCACTAAGTTAAGGGACACCTTGTATATAGTTCTTAATTAATGAATTTCCTAGTCTATACAAGAAAATTTAAACTTTGGTTATATACGGTTTATTGTATATACTCGTATAGTATAAATAATATGTTATGCTCAATGCCTGAATTCGGGCATCGCCCGTTAAAAATGCTCAAAACAATTAACCAACTAGGTAATATTTTCCAAACCTGAAATTTGACTTTAAAACGGCTATTGAGCGTTACCAAAACATTATTCCATGTAATCAGTGCCTGAGAAAATTTAATTTGTGACGCTCAATAGCCTTATAAAAGCGATATTTCGGATTTGGGAAATATTCGTCGCTCAATACTATTTTTGAGCATTTTTTTCAGGCTAGCTTGAATTTTTGGATTGGGCGTAAAATATACCTAAGCAATTAATAAACAAATAAAAAGGTTATGTTTGATTTACATTCAGTCGTGACTGTTGGCTCACCCTGTATAACTTTATTTAACTCTAATTTGTTTTTGTAACAGTTTTTTTGCAGTGCTAAAGTGGCATTTATAAAACTCCCATGCTGTTTCCTCAGGGCTAGTTTTTTCCTCCAAACATTTCTCCATCTCCTTTAAATCGTCTCCTTCGTAATGTGACAAGAATTTTTGTTTCATGAAATCCTTATTCAGGTGGCCAATTTTGTCGATTATATTTAAACCTTTGGCAAGACATAACATGTGTAATTTTAACTGGGGATCCTCAGAGAGTGTGCCTTTGGACATTGCTTCAAGTAAGATGGGTTCCACGTAAGTATTTGCATCATTTTGACAGTTTTTATGGGCATTTTTAACCTGACTTTGTTCTTCATTTGTTTGCCCTTGAATGATCTATAAATGGATTGTTAAAAAAAGTTTATACATAGTGTTTCTAAATAATTTGCTAATACTAGAGAATAATAGTATATTCTATCATAGAATTTCTATAACAAGTTTATTGGGAGAAAGTAAGGTTGGATCACAGAGATGTCGCCACCAGTGTTTATTTGGTCTTCCGGTGGTAAAATGAATTTATTCTAAGACTTTAAGGTATATATGCAATTCCACATTAAAAAGTTATATTAGAAAGGTAATATTTCGTAATAGAAGTAGAAAAAAGTTATTAACATACGAGGTGTGTTCAGAAAATATCGGGAATTTTCGTTTTTTGAAACAAATATTTATCTATTCGTCTACATTAATGTTGTCGCCTTCAAAATAGTCCCCATTGGATATTATACACATGTACCAGCTCTTCTTGCGATACTTGAAACACTTCTAAAACTCGATCTTTGGGATAGCCTTTAGTTCTTTTATCGATGCGCTTTTAATGTCATCTATGCTTGCAAAACGACAGCCCTTTAAGGTTCTCTTTATTTTTAGAAATAGGAAAAAGTCAGACAGAGGCATATCTGGCGAATATGGATGCTGGGGCATCATTACAGTATTGTTTTTGGCCAAAAATGTTTTTCAAAATTTGACAATTTTAGACCCAAAACATTCGAAAAAATTTCATGGGATGAGCCAATCGATATATCAACATCATCAGCGACTTCTCTGATGGTTTATAACCATTTCTTCCACTTTTTTCATGTTTTTATCGGTTGTTAATGTGCTTGTGCGTTCGAGGCATTCGTCATCTTCAACGTCTTCACGGCCATCTTGGAAACTCTTATACCACTTGTAAACTCTTGTTTTACTTATAGCAGACTCACTATAGGCCTTTGTTAACATTTCACAGAATTTATTTAATTTTTTAAGCAAAATTGGATACAAATTCTTTGATCCATTTCTTTTAACGAACGAAAAATCGCCGAGCTCATAAAACACGTCTAACCTTAGCGTCTGCCACAGACAAAGTAAACAATGAAAACAGCTAAACTTTTTATCATACTTCGGGGGCATGTATACCAACATCATAAAGAAAATTTTATGACAACCGGACCCTCCGAACCCGCGAAACCCGTTATTTTCTGAACACGCCTCGTATAGTTAGTTTAAAACCAAAGAGTTAAAACTCAACACAGCAATTTTTTTATGAGAGATTTTTAAGCTTATTTATATTTAGTAACTATGATTTCAAATATGACTGTGGATTTAAAATTTTTAATACACTAGCCAGAGAATAAGGCTATTTAAAAGTCAAATTAAAAATCTAATAAAAAAATAAACACCGTGTATACTATTTGACTGTTTCTTTCAAAATTTTCTTAGCCGTATTAGCACATTATAAACACCATGTATATTATACAGTGTATATTCTTACCTTTCCAAAAGATATGCACACAAGGGAAAAAATAACTAATAATACTTTGTATCTGCTCATTTCAAATGTTTATTACTTAATAAAGATATTTTCGTAATGTATATCCTATTTAAATTATAATTAAACGTTTTAATGTGGGAATGTTTAGTTAACATATAAGTATAATTAATCTGGTTGCATTAATATTTATCAGAAAATTTTGCGAAAGTAAAAACAATCGGTTTATTTATAGAACATGAAATCAGTTTATATTAAAAACATGTATACAAAATTTTGTCTTATTGCTGCACTGAATTGATTGCATTATGCTGACATTTAAAGAAATCCCAAGAAGTTTCCACATAAGTGCTCTTTTCTTTAAGGCACTCTTGAAGATTTTTTACTTCTTTTCCATCGTAATGTTCAATCCATTTTGACTTTATAAAATGTTCATTCAATTTACCATTTTCATTAATAAAATTCAGTCCCTTTGCCATACATAACATGTGGTTTTTAAGCTTGTCGTCTTCAATGAAAATCCCTCCAAACCAATTTCTGATAAGCATCTCATCCACACATGTTCTTTCATCATTTTGGCATTGCTCGTGCACCTCTTTAAATTTAGACCGTTCTTCTTTGGTTTGTTTCTGAATAATCTAAGAAAAATATTACTTAAAGTTTCACAATTTTAATAATAAATACCTTTGCAGAAGCAATCGATAAGACAATAATACAGGCTAAAATAACTGTATAATTCTTCATTTTGAGCGCAAATACTCGGTACTGAATATGGCAGCAGTTACTTAGGCTTTTATATTCAATTATTAGCAATTAATTCACTTTTATGCCCCTTAAAAGTGAATTTGCATTGTAAACTTTTAATAAGTCTTTTTAACAGCGCCTTTTGCGCAAGGGGAAACACAATAAGCGCGATATTTACGATCAAAAATTTTATGTCTCTTTAAGCAAGTTTCTCAGAATAGAGAGTAAAGGAAAACATGAATATTTATAAACAAATACGTTTATTAATAATAATTTAAATTGTGTAAGATGCTTTATTTAAACTTACAAAAATAATTATTACTAGGGATAAGTGAAAGAGCAGTAAACTACCTAGTATAGGGCACTGAACTTCGCCTTTTGTTTGTAATATGTTTTTTACAATCAATAAAGACATTATTAGTATTATTATTATTAATAATAATTAAAAACAAAAGTCAGTTGTAACAATGTTGCGGTTAAATTGGATATTTAAATTTATTACATAATAGTATATTAAAAAACTAATGTCATAAGACGTCATTTTGTCGCACGCGGACAATTTACAAAACTCGCTTCTTCGTGCGGCAAGAGATCTTATGACATGAATTCTTTATGCTATTTTATCTATTTTGCAAAAATTCTATAAAAAAAATTAATTTTAAACCTTAAATTTAATTTGGTCGAATTTTACTTTAGATAGTTGGTATCACAGTCATCGGTTTGACACTTAATGTTAAAATCGATTCGCCATGCTGTCCTTAATTTACTTATTTACAATAAGCGGCTGTTAATGTTAAAGAAGAAAAAAAGGATTTTCTTTGGTGTTAAACAAAATTTATTGCCGGAAGTACTAGAAAAATCATATAAATATTATAACCAATATACACTGTTCAAAATTTTAGCTAATTTTTACCTAAAATATTAGACTATACTGTATAGGACCATTAATTTTTTAAGGCAAACTGCTTGAAATGAATTCAGAGGAATATTCCCCTTTTAAATAAGTGAATTTAACTAATATTTTTAAAGAAAATGATACAATTAATTAAGCAAAATTACTTAGGTTTCAAAGATGATACACCTTAGATCGTAAGGGATATTGCCTGAGAATAAAAGAATAAATTTTCTGTTTTTAAGGCAATTTGCTTAAATTTTTAGGTATATTTTAGCTTCTAGTAAAATTCTATTAATTTTCTAGTGAAATTTCACTAATTATCTAGTGAAGTTTGACTAATTTTCTAGTAAAATTCTACTTATTTTCTAGTGAAATCCCACTATTTTATTAGACAAAAATATAAGGGGAACAAGAATTGGCGGTGGGGGCATTTAGGAGAGAAGATATTTATAATGTCATTTTTATTCTCACGCATTGCTTTGGTAATATACTATTTTGGAAATATACTATTGTAAATGTTAAATATTATTGTAAAGTAAAGTTACCGATAACCTAGTAGTGTTTATCCCTATATCGAGCAATGTAAATGAGAAAAGAATGACATTATAAATCCCCCTTTTAAGTGCTGATGGGTAAAATAAAAAATACATTTAGTATAGTTAAATTGAAAATGTATATTAATAAATATGTATAAATAAAAAAAATAAAAGTAACAAAAACGAATTACGTTTATTTTAATAATACCTACCTAATTTATAATTTTAATAATACTTATAGGTATACCCACTTTATAATAATAATAATAATAATAATAATAATAATAATAATAATAATGTTTATTGTGAAAAGAAAGAAGGTACATTTCACAATTGGCAAGAGTTCGGCAAAGCCGATCTTCCACTCTCCCATGTAACATTTTAAGTACATGAATAACTAAAATATTTTCATAGCAATATAACAACATAAAAAATAAAAAATTATTAAAAATAAACAACAATTTCAAATTCATTATTCTTAAATTTCTAACTGCAAACTTCGTACATGGTTTTTTAAAACCTGTTTAAAATTTAACTCAGGTAAACTTAAAAAATCAAGTATCTTATTCAAAATAAGTTTAATAAAGTTTCTTTTGGCATAGTAATTTTCTTCCAAGTTAGGACTCCTTTATCTTTATGTCCTAGGCGAATTAACAACGGCGGTTCCGGTACTACAGGGTTAAAAATAAATTGGGGTCAATGGGAAATTCCATTTAGTTTGGATTACTTAACTATAGCACTACAAAATGTTCACTTATAGCAAAATAATTGTTAATATGTTGTAATATCAATAGCACACAACGCGGTCTTTACGCTTTCGTCGATTTTGGCATTATGGTGGACAATATAGGCGCGAATATTTATCGTAAAACGTCGGTATTAGCGATCGTAGCCGATTGCAAGTAAGTCACTAATATTTAAAGAAATTTACCTAAATTAGTTCAATAATTTGCCATAATAATTTAGAAGAATTACCTAAATTAAAAGCAAAATGTTTTTCCTTAACTAATTCTGATTAGGTATTTCAAAAGGCTTGATTTTGAACAGTGTACAAAATATTATGCTATTTAAAGTATGGCAAACCTATAAAATCAAACTTTTGGGTGTGATAAAGTATCTCATTATAGCACCGCATATTTATGTTTGTATGTTATATTAAAAGCCATATAACATTTATAAACACTTTATTTTCGTAAAAGTCCTTAGACATTATTTACATATGTATAATTCAACCTAAATGTCCTACAGTCTTATGTTTGCAAATAAGCATGTCCCATGACGTTTCTACATCATTGGATTTGTTCACCAAACATTTCAAAAGGTTGGTGTAGTCGCTACCATCATAATGTGCGGACCATTTTTGTTTAAGGATTGCTTCATTTAAACCTCCACCAGGTTGTATGTAATTAAAACCTTGGTTCATGCAGAGCATGTGGATTTTAAGTTGCTGGTCTTCGGTAAAAATGCCCTGGATGGTTTTGGTCACCAAGTCTTCATCGACAAAAGTTTTTGGATCGGCTTGACACTTTTTATGTATGGCAACGAATTTCGTTTTTTCTTGTGGTGTTTCTGGTGTTATTAACTAAATAAAAAATATAAAATAACTGTTCGATAAATCTGAATATATGTTGATACTTACACTTGCAGAAGCTAAGGATACAAGACCAAACACAATTATAAACGATTTCATTTTGATTTGATGTCTTACTGATGTTTACATTAAGAGATATATTCCTTATATAGGTATTTTATGTGTCTGTTAAAAAAACTAAATATTCCCGTTTTGATTGGTTTTCTTAAAACATGTTCGTGTTTTGGATTTTTAAATAATGTATCTTGAATTAATTGACCAATAAAATTTAAAATTTAAATTTGCATTACTAAGAATATTGTCAATAAACATTGTATGTTTTGTTTATCTTGCAAAAATATAAAATGGAATAAAATAAATAAAATCATTTTGTTTGTTTAATATTTTTTAAGCATATGATATGATATATTTATAATATATAAATCAACTATGATTTAAGCGTACGATTAAAAAAAAATAATGCGGTTTAAATGCACTTTACAAAAACTATACATACGTCAAAAATCCTAGCTTTTCAGGGCAGCGCGCTGCAGCGCCTTGAAGTTTCTGTAGTGCAAATCGAGATTTCTTCTTTAAATAACCTTACCGTCTCGGAATCCAAAATAATTTCAAAAAAAACCAATCTTTGCGAGGTCAATAGGAAACAAAGATTTGAATAGGAACAAAATCTTTAATTTAAATTATTTCATTAGGAAAGCTTTTACGGACGCGAAGCGATATTTTTATTTAAAGTGTTATTTATATAGAAAAGTATAGCGGGTCAAATTGAACCGTTCAATATATGTCATGACATTGTGCACAATTATTCAAAATTGATGGTGGTTATTTTTTCTATAATATTTAATTAACATTAATTTTAATCTAGAAAAAAGATACCTACGAGTTGCAGGCTCCATTTTGTATTTTGTAAGGGTTCCCGAAAATTATGAAAATGATGAAAAAGTACACAAAGAAAACTGATTTTTAAAATTTAGTACTTAGTTATTGGTTAAATTAAAACTCAGGTACTGGCAGTGGTTTCAAAAACTGTTATGAAGTTTGTATAATATTACAAAAGTTATTTTAGTTTTGCAAAAACAGTAGTTTTATAGCAATTTTTTATCCATAGTAAAAATTGCGGTTTTTTCTATTTTTACTACATTTTCTTTCTTTTTAACCCCATTTGGGACTAAAAAATCCTTCAAAAAGTTACCTCTAATTTACCTCTAATAAAAAAGACCTTTTACTACTTACATTTTATGATTCAACACCGTCAAAAACTCCTAGAAAAAGCATACCTAATGGTCACTTTATTTGTAGACCTGTTTTATGCATCAGTAAATTCGCAACTTTTTTTTTCTACACAACTGTTTCTAAAAGTAGGCAGTATTTTCGTGGAGGTGTATAAACATTTTGGGAATTCTTGACATTACATTAGAAATATAATTAAAATATTAATAATTATTATTATTATAATTAACAAACAATAAGTTCAGGTGTATATTTTTTAGAAAAAAACAATATTAAATTATTTTAAAAATTGTACTTTTCTTAAATCATGTATTATTATCTTTTAAGTAAACAAGAATTTTACCGAAGTAGCTATTACAGCTTTATTTACATAAATATTTCTATATTATTACATTTTCACATACATGACGCGGTCCAAAAAATGATTTTCGAGATTATGATTATGTTAATTAGATTGAAGCCTAATCTTTAAAAAAGTCCAATACTAATAAGTTTATCTCAAAAATTGACAATGCTTCGACTTTTCGAAGTCGAACGTTTGTACACAAACGCCTCTGCTGAGCGATCTTAAATAGCCTCTCCTGTAAAATTTTATTTTGGGACTTAAGGTTCGTTTTCCAAGAGCTTTTTTAACTCTTTTAAGTAATTTTTTATCAAAACTTAAAAATAAGGGAGAAACACCCTTTCAAAGTTTAATTAAATTTTGAGGCCGGTCCTGGTTAGTGTTGCCAAAAACATAACCTTAAAAACAGAAATGACAAATTTAACAATGCAATGCTCTCCTCTGTAATGGCGCGCCTACAAAAATTGTTTGAAGTTGTCCCTGTTGTGATCTACACAAAGATACTTGCGTTCATTCAAAAATTCCCCAACTTTACGCCTAAAAGTAGGCGGCGCCACATATAACCACAGTTTGTGTTTTACATTCTCAGGTTGCAAAACTTATGAATTGCCTTGCTGGTAAACATTGCTTAAAAGGTTGAAGCTGATTTTTGTGCACACTTTTACAAACTTTCGTCTGACTAACTTGAATCTGGAAAGCGATTACACGAGTGCTTGTCGTTAGATCCTCATGCACTAAATCCAAAATGGATTCCTCGTACAGTAGGAGTCCATTTCTAGGGTGCCTCGGTCGTCCTGTGTGTTCTTTATGATGCTCCAGTAAACTACCTAGCCCTAGCCCCTTGCACACCATTCAAAAATGCCTGAGGGCCCATGAATCCGGTTAAGGAAACGATTGGCGTATAATCGCGGTGCACGCGCGGCATTTTGACGATACTCTCTATAAATATATATCGTCAAAGTGCCGCGCTTGCATCGCGATTCTACGCCAATCGTTTCCTTATTTATTAATAACATGTCCACTAGTTCTTTATTTTTATAATTGAATGGGAAGTCGATGAAGGGGTTAAAGTAACTTTTTAAATAATAAAGGACAAAACATTGTAATTGCAATACCAAATCTATTTTTATTCATAATCACAATTATGTTTATTCTTTTTAAAACATAAATGTTACATAATACCTTCAAACAAAAAATATTCCAATTGAAATACCAATAACAATATTTTTGAAAGGCTGTTTCTCCATAGACAAGGGATAGGTTTGGTGGGTGGGAGATTCTCTCTTATTTTTGAGTTTTAATAAAAATATTTGATTTCTGCACTGTTAAAAAAGTTAATTTAAAACTCACCCTGTATTATTACGATTATACTTTTTTACCACTAGCCTTGAAAGCTATTATTACTTTTTAATAATAGGCTTAGTAGGGGGTAGGTAAAGTAAAAAAAGGTTTTCTAGAATATGTTTACTGATGTTTTATTGACATGGAAAGATATTTTGTATATGTGTTATCTTATACAATATACTATCTATAATATAGACACATTTAAATGCTATCAGATCTATGTACGAATCCAGCAGCCCTATGTTTACACTTAATCACCTCCCAGGACGTTTCAACTGGAGTAGCGTACTCCTTAATGCAATCTAAAGCTCTTTGCAATTGCTCGCCATCGTAGTACTCATTGAAAGTCTCTTTGAGGTATTCCACGTTGATCGTGCCGTTGTCGTGCATTACTTTTAAAAGGATCGACATACAAAGCATATGTTTTTTGAGCGATTCATCTTCGACGAATTCGCCCTGGAGAAGTTTCCTTACCAGTTCCTCTTCAGCTTTGGTTTCTTGAGTCATTTGGCACTTTTTGTGGGCCACTTGGAAGGCTATTCGGTCTCTTTCAGTTGCTTCTGGTTTAAGAACCTAAATTTAAAAATAAAAAAAATATGTTTAGTCTTTTATATCCTAAAATTCTAAAACCTTACATTGGGATTATAATGATTTACGAGAAGAAAATGGTGCTTTCTTTAGCAATCTAACGTATTGAATTGTTTTAACTATACTTTATTTAACTTAAAAATAATGGTTATATAAGTAATTAACAATGTTTCATGAATATTATTTTCTTAAATAATCATGCCAGAAATTAATGCACGAGCCCAGGACACAAGTTTTTGCAAGAAGGTGAGCGTGTGTAATGTAATAATTATGTTATAAACCTATAAAAAACTATAGGAAAATAATATATAAAACACTATTTCTTACCTTGCATGACACAACACCTAAAGCTACAGCAAATACCACAAACTTAAACATTTTGCTTGGTTTAACTTAAAAGGCAGGCACTGCTGCTTTATATACTGATTTTTTTCAGAATAGAGCACAAAAAGCTTGTCAATGGGCAAAATTTACATACCAAACCTGTTGGATGCTGGTAAATTAAAGCACCATTAAGATTAATTTAAAGATATATAAAAAACGTATAACTTACCTAATTTAGCGAGGTAACTGAAATCAGACGATTGTTATTTTAATAAAAATATCAAAAATCCGTAACCATGTTTTACAAGGTAATTTATTAATATGTCGTGCAAGTTGTACGTTACATTAAAAGATAACAGTTTAGGACTATAGTTTTGGGCACATTTTTTTTACTTTTCTTTTATAAATACTTTTGTATATAATATTAATAATATTGGTAGAAAACTTAATACAAAGCAGAATAAGATGTGAGTGGTAAAAAAAAAATAGGTTTAGGGTATTTGTTATTTGTAGGGTAATTTCGAATTGTTATGCTCACAAATCAACTCTATAGCTTGGCGACTGAAATTTCCTATGTGAATAACATGGTAAAAACTTTTTTGCTCTTTGAAATTTTATAAGTTGTTGACATATACCGGGTGTATCTGAGAATATGTGCACCCCTGTAACTTTTTTATTTATTAAGATAGACACATGAAATTTAGCATGGTTAATTAGGATATAAAATGCCAGTTATGAGAGTACAAAAAGAATTTTTTGAACTTCCGGTTTCGCCGGAAATGATATCAACTTTCGATTTTTAAATGGAACGCCCTATATATTTTTACATATTTAGAATTCTGAGAAAATTCTGAGTCGGACAGCATCCTCAAATTGACCTTTCAACGTTTCGTCATCAGAAAATGCATCATCATAAAGATCAATCCAGAGTGCTTTGAACTATTTGACAAAAATGAATTTTGACAAGTTTAGACTGCTGGGAATAGCTGAATAACAACTTTCTAAGGTCCATTTTTCAGGCATTGTATGAATCGATTAGAAGAAAATAAGATAGTTCAAAGCACTCTAGATTGATGATACATTTTCTGATGACTAAACGTCAAAAGGTCAATTTGAGGATGCTGTCTGACTCAGAATTTTCTCAGGATTCCAAAATGTAAAAATTTATAGGGCATTCCATTTAAAAATCGAAAGTTGATTTCATTTCCGGCAAAACCAGAATTTCAAAAAAAAATCATTTTGTACTCTAATAAGTGGCATTTCATATCCTAATTAACTGTGCAAAATTTCAATAAAAAAGTTACAGGGGTGCGCCTATTCTCAGATACATCCGGTATACCGACAATAATGAAAAACAATATTTTGTAAAGAATTAAACGCTTTACAAAAAACTCTAACCCAGTCAAAGTGCCATAACGAGTCCAGTAGCAGAATCTCTAATAAAAATTTAAAATCGAATAAAATCTGTAATATTTGGATTTTTTTAATAAAATTTAAAATTTGTCGATAAATTATAGTAGATAATAAATTGCACCACTTTAATTTAAATTATCTTAAATAGGGGGGCCTGGAGGCGGGTGAGGCGACAGGAAAAACTAACTTTTTTTCGCAAACTTCAGTTTGCGCCGAACTTGTCTATTTAATGTCATTATAAACTATTATAAATTTGGTGTGGGTGCCATGTCTAATAACTGAAATATTATTATACCCAAAATCCACCAGCCGCCACTGGCCGTTGGCACTTCTTTTATGCCTACCAGCGGCGTCGAAGATTAAGATTAAATTTTGAAGAGTGAAATAAACTACTTGATCATCCAACTCTATTTCCCGGTCAAGATATTTACTTCTTCACTTGCTTCTTTATGAGATTATTTTTGGTAATGTTTCATTTTAGTTATACGTATTTAGGTATATTTATAAATAAGGTACCTTTTAAGATTATACTACTTTGTTACCTTCACTTTTTTAATTTAATATATTTTTTAAACTAGTTTATCAATAATTTTGCTAAAAGTTTATTATTATACGAGAGATAATAGATAATCTTATGTGTAATACTATACTTAATCTACTCTAATAAGTAGATAATTAAATGTTTTTTAAAAATAAATAAATAAAATCTGACATCTGTCAAATGTTTAACCTCACTTTTTACCAATTTTATAGTCGCCGTCTCCCAATTTAAAACCCGATTGGTTCAAATTACAGTAAATATTGAAATCGGCCAATCACTGATGCATAACAACGTGAATAATGAGGTAATTATTGCCTAGGCAGGGAATTTATAATGTTTATCATTATTTACGGAAAAAAACCCAATATTATCGAATAGGAGTAGATAAAGTATAGTATTACACTCGAGATTATGCGCATTATTCATTCAAACGCGAGACGCGATGTTTGTCATAAATAAATTAAAATTTTCTGCTGCCTTTGAAAAGTGCCTCGACTTTTTCATTAAGTTACCTCATCCATCACTTACTGCTGATAATATTTCTCAACAATAATATCCTCATAGGATTGCATTGTATTAAATATTATAGGATGCATCTGTCTTGTCGAATCCGACAGCCAGCAGCCGAATTATATTAAACCGTTTTGATAGATAATCTACATCCATTGCAGGACATCAATCCGGGGAGCGAGCGTGAGCGAACGTTGAGTTATTGGTTAAGGAAGGAAGGTTGCGGTCGCGTCAATTTCTTTTAATGCCAGTGCGCTTTGTTGTCTAAAATGTCTGCTATTTCCTAGATGCGGTGCGGGAAATTCGCTCGTCCTTAATTAATTCAAACTCATTCGTCAATTTGGGTTTGTGGTGGGTTTCTTTTGATGGATTTTTATTTGTCCAATATATCAAAATATTGAGGAATAATTGTTAAAAGTTTTTATTTTACTTCATTTACAATAAGTATAAAATTTTAAAAAGTGAAGATTTAAACCATAAGAAGGTGTTGATATTTTTTACTTTTATATATTTTAAAAATGTAAGGTAAATGTTTAGAATAAATCTATTTATGTGGTAGTATATTTAACCCACTACTTACTTTTATATTATACTTTTACTGGCCCTAGAAAAAGTAAAAATATCAGTTGCGAATAATGTGCAACCAAAATAGACAATTCTATAATTTATATACTCGTAATATTATACAGACTGTATAGAATCAAGTAAGTAAGGCTGGAGACAAGGATGACAAATTATATTCTGATCAGAGAAAAAGAAAAAAACTTTAATTGGACGTGGTTTAAACCAAGCCATTCGTAATTACGAACCATAGTTGCCAGGTTGTTTTAAATCAGAAGAGAACGATTATAATTATTTAATAAATAGTTCAATTTTATTTCCTTGAAACTTTAAAAATAACAAAAAAATTAATAATATGTCACAAATAATTTGATTTAGTTAATTTTCTTACTTTTAATATTAAAAAATAAGAAAAACAACCCTTTTAGGAAACAATAATAGCATATGGCAACAGCGCGGCATACAGCCGGATTGTAGCTACACTGGGTAAAGGCCTATTTTGAAACATATTTTGAAATAAAGATTGTATTTGGCGATACGATCTACCAGTGTGATGCCATACCATAATTTGTTATTTTTCCTCACGGGTAAAAACCATTTTATTTGAGAAAATACTTTTTTATTCTTACAAAGACGTACGCAAAGTCTCAGTGCACTTCTTAAACTGACGCACACTGTGTCGTATGATCTGGCGTCGCAAACAATCTACTGCCTAGGTTTTCACGTCGGCAGTGAAATGTATGCTCGGCGATAATATGTGGTTTCTCCGCCTGGTCTGTAATGTACTATTTGGTATTTTTTTAAACCTAAAATAACCGCGTGCCGTTAGTGTTTAAAAATGTTTACAATCATATCATAAGTTAAACATTTAAATATATGGACTTAAGGTTAAACACAAAAATCTAACAAATATACAAGGTGTCCCTAAACTTAGTAGCATAAATTTAGGAGCAGATTAAGCAAGTCAAAATAAGACGAAAATCTAAATAAATATTTTTCCTAATTAGGTATGTTTAAAAGATACAGGGTGAAAAAGAGTTACTTATCATATCAGTTTTTTTAATATAACTTCCACTATGGAGCCATTCCACGCGTGACGGATGGGATAGTTGCCGTGTTTTTATTTGCAAAATAATGTTGTTCTATTGTATTGCCAATGTCAAATTTTTATAAATGGTTCTAAACTGGAGCTGTTTAACAAGGTTTTTATTTGGCAAAATTGGGTACCGTGATTGACTGTCCAATTCATTAAAAACTAATAATTTAAAGCGTAACGGGCGGGACTATTGCAAAGTCCCGACCGTTACGCTTTAAATTATTAGTTTTTAAGGAATTGGACAGTCAATCACGATACCCAATTTTGCCAAATGAAAACCTTGTTAAACAGCTCCAGTTTAGAACCATTTATAAAAATTTGACATTGGCAATACAATAGAACAACATTATTTTGTAAATAAAAACACGGCAACTATCCCATCCGTCACGCGTGGAATGGCTCTATGGTAGACTTGGAAAGGTGATATAACAATTATTATAATCTTGAATATCTCGGAAACGGTTTATTTTATCGAAGTTTGAGAGGTACACCTTTTTAATGGTAGACGAACTGTGTAATCGAAAAATTGTATCAAATGTTATAAAAACCTAACCTCAAAGTTTGTATGGGAAGATAAGCTTAAAGCAACCCCCGTTTCTACGACACTGTGTTCACTCAAACAATTGTAATTATGTGTGAATATGTGTTTTGGTAGTAATTGACTGTTCGCAAAATATCACGTTTCCAAGACTACCATTATGGTAGTAGAAGTTATATTAAAAAAACTGATATGATAGGTAACACTTTATCACCCTGTATCTTGGAAACATAAGTAATTAGGAAAAATATTTATTTAGGTTTTCGTCTTACTTTGACTTGCTCAATCTTTTCCTAAATTTATGCCAATAAGTTTAGGGACACCTTGTATATTATCTTCGAGTTTAACTTTACTTCAAAAGTTTTGAAAAGTATTATTAATTTGGTATAATATATACT